TGGAAAACCAAAAAGAAGAAGGAAGAAGAAGAAGAAGAAGAAGAAGAAGAAGAAGAAGAAGAAGAAGAAGAAGAAGAAGAAGAAGAAGAAGAAGAAGAAGAAGAAGAAGAAGGAAGAAGAAGAACAACAACAACAACAACAACATGAAGAAGATGCAAGACTCACCTAACGGTAAATTAGGAATTGAACACAAGTGGTTTTGTGTAAAGTGTTTAGGTTTTTTCCCTTGCAATGGAAATCAGCAAAGATTCTGTGAGAAGGAGACTGGGTGGAAAAGAGAGTGAGATATAGTCAGATTGCCACAAACTCAAGAAAAACAGTGGAAAAAAAACCTGAGATGAACTCAGAGAGACCCAGTTTAATCTGCGGTCATCAGCCACCACTTTCAAGTTCTCAAACTCTGGATCAATATAGCAAAGCAATCATCTTAAAGAATATTTCAGTTCTCACACTGTCTAAGGGTCTGTGATCAAGAAGAGAAAGAGGGTTCAGGATGGAAAATTCAGAACAGAGTGTCTAAGAAGGATTCTGGAGGAGTATGAACAAAGGCCAAGGGCAGAATGGACTTCAAAAGAAAAGGTCAGTCAGCTGAATAGGAAAGCAGTCCTCTTGAGCACACATCTATGAAGAAGAAGTAGTCCTCTCCCAGTCCCTGAGAGTAAAGTCCTTGTAAAAAGAACTCTATTCCTAAGAGTCAAGGCTCCAGAGGCTCTTAGAGGGCTAGGGGTGTAGAGCCCTTGCCCAGATGTATGAGGTCCTGGCTCTGATTCCCAGCACTGCAAAGAAAAGAAGGGATGGGGGTGGGGTGGAGGTTAGAGTAGAAACAGAGTCCAAAGGAAGGAGATTAAGTCCTGAATGTGAACAAGGGCACTTTCCCTGATGCTATTTAACTGCATATGTAGCATTGGAGCCACCTTGTACATCAATACAGAATTTCTGCTAGATCACAGCAATAGACAGATCCTGCTGGAAAGACATGAGAGAGTCAAGGACCTACGAACAGTGGTTTTGAAGAATGAGTTGCCATTTGCATCCTTTGGTAGGCATAAGGTTGACTAACACCAAGAAACAACATGTGGGAGACTGGACTTGGCATGTGGGCCCAAATGCTCTCCCTCATCAGGGAACAGTAGAACGGACTCAGCTTCACATATTCAGTAGAACAAATCCTTCCTTCTGATCAGCTGGTGAGCATGATTTTCTACAGTAACACACGTTTTTCTTAAAGATTCAATGATGAATAAGCTCCAACCAGAGTTTAAATACAACCCTAATATTGTAGCTCAGTGGTAGAATGCTTGTCTAGAACCGACATGAGCTAGTTTAATTCTCAACAAAAAGTAAAGTTTACACACAATTGTTAGAGCAGAAACAAGCAAATCTCTCACGCTCACAGGAATGTGGGGGTGGGGAAACAAATAAATGACGTCTGTGTCATGTGAAACCGTAAGAGAGATGGAAACATCTCCTAGAACCACACTGGTGGGAAGATTCAGTCACGCACCTGCTTAGGACAGACTACGGGAGCCACATGGGCCTGAAAAGTGCTCCTTCGGTCTGTGATAGGAACGCCATGGTCAACTGGAGGCAGTTCTTCTATTTCTATAAAGCCAAAGAATTAATTTTCCTTCTTTTAAAAAGAAAATCAGCAATAAAGGAAAAGAACTGGGATATAAATAATATTATATGGAAAAGTTAAGCAAAAGCAGCATGAATAATTACTTACCAAAATTAAACTTTAAGTTCATAAATCTATCGTATGTCAGAGAAATGATTTCCACCTGCCACTGCCACTCAGTCAAAGTGATACAAAGCCCAGACTGACAATCATGGGCTGCTGTTGTACTTTAGTTGGTGCAATATCTAGTTTGTAAGAGAGTAAAGGACTACTCAGACCAATGACTGACAGATCCTCACACCACAACGTGTTCCTCCATATAGGCCAACCTCTGGAGTGGGAAAGCTCTGACTGGCTTTATAGTGTGTGGCTGTAATATACCATTAATACAATACAATACAATATAATGTAATGTCTTCTATAAAACTGCTCCTACTTCCCATAGTGGAATTCAACACAACAGTGCTACATCCAGTCAGTATGCCACAGAAGTACAATCATTTCCAGTTGTTCTACCTTCTCAACGAGTTCACAAATCACTGTAACTTAACTATGGTCAAGTTAACCTGTCTTGGCTACTGCTAACCAAAAGGCTAATAGGAAGGGAACACAGTTCAACATCTGCAAGCAAGCAAGCAAGTACTCCCTCGTACATGAGCCTTAGCTGTTTCTAGGCCTCCCAAAAGCAGTATCACCTGATCTCCTCCAGAGGAACTAGTTAGAAACACTATACCTGGTACATGTTCACTGATGTTGAAGTCTACGGTTTTAACTGCATTTGCTGGCTGATGTTCTACAATGAGGTCATCTTCACATTCAACATCCTCCTCTTCAGTTTTTTTCTTTACATCTGGGCCTATATGAATATGAGACATTATGATTGAGCAATGAAGCAAATAAGAAATTAAACCTACAAAAATCATTGGAATCCTAGCACTTGGGAGGCAGACAGAGGCAGGCAGATCTTGGTGAGTCCCAGGCCAGCCTGGTATACATAGCAAGTTCTAGGTCATCCAGGGATATACAGTGAGACCTGTCTTTAAAAAAAAAAAAAAAAAAGAAAAGAAAAAGAAAAAAAGAGAGAAAGAAAGAAAAGAAAAGAAAAATAATTGGATCTTAACCTTTACACATCATTCTTCAACAGAAGAAATCATGATTTTTCTTACAACAGAATTCTAAAAATAAATCAATGAAGGCTTTGGGACTTTTTTATCATGAGGTAAAAATCAGAGTGATAAAGATCTGGTAAGATCCACCAATGGGTACTGAAATTGCAGGCAAGAGTGTAAGAAAGAACAGGAAGGGAAGGAGAGGTGGCTCAGGGGCAGGGCATCCCTGCATGAGGAAGCCCCTGGTTCAATCCCCAGTACTGAAAGAAGAAAAGGAAAAGCCTCAGCATGGCCTTAAGGAACATTCCCCCAAAACTACAGTCTTGGAAAAAGGAAGTAAGAATATTATGTGAGCTGGGGGTTTGAGGCTAACCTGAGTACTGGGCAACATAGCAAGACCCTATTCCTCCCACCAAAAAACAAAACAAACAACAACAAAACACCCAAATGTCCTCCACACAAAAGGGAAGACATTAACTGTCATGATTAATTAATTTTACATGTCAACCTAGTGAGGCCCTAATGCGGAGATCTTTGAACAACACTATTACGGATGATGGAGGCATGTTTTGGATGGGAACAACATTTACATCCACCAACTTTGTCCTCCATCACAGTGAGGAGCCTCCTCCAAGTCAATGGAGAAAGACTGACCTCCATGAAGAGGATATTTTTCCAGCAGACTACCTTTGAACATAAACTGCAACATTAAATTATACTGTGCTGGTCCTTGCAAATTCCAAACTTGCCATCTTCATACTTGTACAAGCCAATTACTCAAAATAAAGATCGATATACATATAAGCATATGGGGTTTGTTTTTTTGGGAAGCCCAACATACTAACTTTATGGTGGAGACAACTAGTGGATACCACGTTAGCCAATGACCGAGGTAAACATTAACAATCGGGAGGCACGCTGGTCTCCTAAGCTTCCTGGTGTGCTGTCATGTAGAGTTAGGAAGCAAACAGAAGTCATGGACTTCTCAGTGTGCTGTAGGTAAAGGATGCAGCATCATTTCTAGGTACTCTCACCAGCAGCTCACTCCAGTCACAAGGACTAATAAGGCCAAACCATCAGCATTCCATAAAATAAATGGTCAGAATAGTCACAAGTGTCGAGGTTAGCTCAGTCGTTAAAGGGCTTGAGGAGCTGAATTTTATCCCTAGACTCCTTCCCACTGATGGGGAGGCAAAGGCAGGAAGACCCAGCAGGCTCACGTCCTGTCCCACAAGATGGCAAAGGAGTTGGATTAAGGATGTAAAGAGCGACTGTCCTGTTTCTGTTACTCTTCTGTAAGTTTAAAATAAGCTCTGATTTCTTTTAAAAATTTAAAAAGTTGTGTGGACATACTTAAAAATTTAAAGACTCTGTTCTAGAAAAATAAAAAACAAAATAATACTGAAATAAAATTACTTAATTACTTGACAAGTAGGATGCCCTGAAGAAAATTCTCATGCTAAACCCTGATCACTAACTCTTACCCTAATATAGTTCTTTAACAAGGTTTTGTTTGTTATTTTTTTACTTTTACAAAAAATTAGAATAGAACATAAAGGGTACAGGATTTTCATATATATCTCTGTGTGTGTATATGTGTACACACATGTATACACACACACACACACATATATATACATACCCTTGTTTTGGTGGGCTGCTGTTTTGGTAGTATTGAGGATCAAACTCAGGGCCTTAAAATGTTAGGTATATATTCTACCACTAAGTTACATTCCCAGTCCAAAAAACAATTTTAAAGAAAAAGACCCAAACAAAATTCCTAAAATAAAATTTTAAAGTACTTTTCACCACAAAACAGTAACTTCAAAATTTGAAGAGCCAAGGTTACAGAGGTGAAGGTCACTGCTGAAATGAGTTTAATTTTGCTGAGAGTTGAATGATCCAAATGTTCTGGAGTTCTAAATTTCTGCTGGTAACACACTCAATTTCTACAGCTATTCTAACGCTACAAGACAAGCTGGCAAAATTCACTTTGAGAATTTCTAGGGATTTATTCTTTCTCATACATGCTCTGAATTCTGTGAAATCAGAACATGGATCCAAAAGTCAAAGAAAACACTTTAAAAATGCTACAGAGATTAGAGTCTTTACGCCACTCTCTCTCTACTCCTCTCTGATTTTTAACAAAGCAGTAAAAATATTTGCTTTTATAGAAAATGGTAAAAGTAATCTGAAACCCACAGACTACTATCAACTTTAAACATCCAACATAATTAGTTCTCTGTAAATAACCTTCTTTTAAAAGTTCTAAATAAACTACAGGCTCTTTATAACTCTTCCCCCAACACTGAAAACAGTGTCACCTGTGGTGACATTACCAAGTAGTTGCGAAGGAACACCAGGCTGCCTGGGAAGGGAGTTCTGTCTCTTCAAAGGCCTTTGTGGGGGTGGGAGCAGAGCAGGTGCAGGACGGAGCCCGCCCACGCTGCCCACGCTGTCACTGTCGTCCACTCGACCGACCGCGGTCTAACAAAAGGCTGTCAGCGTCTGTGTGAAGGTTACTCCTTCACTTCGAAGGGTGAATGATTGTGGTGCATGGATTGCATCGCAATTTCAAAGTCTATTTTAAAATTTAATTCTATATCCTATTATTAGTCAAAATACTTCTCAGAGTTCTTTTTTGATGAACACTAGATTTGTTTAGGACTAATATCTAATTTATATATCCAAATCATAAGGAATTCTACAAAGTTTATAATACCTTAATGACATTCAGTGTATTTTAGGTTCAAGTTGTTTCCCCACAAAATTCTACATTCTAAAAGTATAATCCACAGAGAAACCTTATAGAAAGAAATTACTATAACTACATGAGTAAGTGAACTCTCAAGAGAAACTTCTTTTTATGATATAGAATCCATAAACCTTGCAGAACATAGTGTCATACGCCTTTAATCCCAGCCACAGGAGAATAGAGGCAGGCAGATCTCTGAGTTCAAGGCCAGCCTAGTCTACAGAGCGAGTCCCAGGACAGCCAGGGGTACACAGGAAAAGAAAGGAGAGGAGGGGACGAGAGGGGATGACGGGGAGGGGAGAGGAGGGAATGGAAAAGGAAAGGAAACAGGAAAGGAAGGAAAGGAGAGGAGACGAGAGGGGAAGGGAGGAGAGGGGAAGGGAGGGGAGGGGAGGAGAGGAGAGGGGAAGG